CGTATTGTTTATTCTGTTGCGTTTACGCTTTATAGAGTGAGATCGAAGATCGAAACCCAATATATATATATATATATATTCATAAGGATAATTGATCACAAAACTTTAAATACAATTAACTCAAAACTATATTTCTCTTACTTGCTGTGGCTAGTTCGTACAATTTTCAACCGACTTACTTCAAATTTTGAAATAATATTTACAATATATATTGTTAGGAAAAAAAGCAGAAGCATTATCGAAATCTCACAAATCCCTGATGAGTTGGAATTGATTAAGAACATCAAATCAAAACCTGTTTGGAATGCCGGATGAAACAGAGAAGAATTAAAAATTGATTATTAGAACCACCTCCAACTGCAAATCAAACAAGTTTTATTATTTTTACGCTTACCTTCCTCAAATGCGATTTATCAAATTTCGATTGCTTATTACCTTTTTCTCCTCGCCTAAATATTAATTTGCGACACTCAATGGATGTAATTTTATCAGTACATTATTTTTGTCAAGAAAAATTATTTAATGTATAAAATGCTTGAAAATATATATTAAGAGAGGTGAATCCCAAACACTCTGTGTCTGAAATTTGAAAAACATCAAAATCAGTAAATTTTCGAGATCTGTGGCACAAATAAATGATACTTTATAAAAGAATGATGATTATGACCAACCAATCAACCAATTCATATACATATTAATGCTTATTTACTCTGAATAATTCTATTTTGTTTTCCTTCTTTTGAATTACAAAAAAAATCAGAAATTCAAAGTTTATGCCAAAAATAAAGTTTGAACATTTGAAACTTTTTTTTAATGTTTTGTGATGCTTTTAATAGCTTATAACTTCTTGCTTATCTGTGTTTATGTTCGTTAATTTATCAGATGAGAATAATACCGTAAGAATGACAAATATAATCCTAATTCAGTTTTTTTTTTTTTTTAAGTCATTTACCTTGATCATTTTCCTTATAAATTACAGAAATATGGTTTTTTCCCTCTAATTTTTCCTACATTTTAGTTTTGTATCTCTTAATTTAAGTCAGAAAATGGTCGAAATTTAAATCGATGATAAATTTTATTTGTTGACAAATGTTAGCTATCAGGAAACTGTTGTAATTTGTATTGTCAATAAGTAAAGAACTTCAATGAAAATGTCGTTATTCTGGATAATCGAAAAGCAAAGTAAATAATCCCAAGAAACTGTAGCGGTAAGATATACAGTTGAACCTCTATTTAACGAAGTTGCTAAATCCCGATAATAAGTTCGTTATATGGAAAATTCATTAAATGGAAAATCACCTTTTGAAATATTTAAACAACGCAAAACAAGTTTTAAATTCATAAACACTAGGCATAATTAAAATAGCAATTGATACACCTTTATCTTGTAAATTGGTATATACTATTTATTTTATAAATCTTAATCATAGAAGAAATATCCATGGAAAACAAGAATAGAGCAAAACATTATCCAGTGTTACACTATCATGCGACATACATTTTCAACTAAAAGAAGCTAAATTTATGTATAGTTGCATTTTTTATCAAAGTAATTTTAAACATACATTACCACATGCGTTCTTAAGCTTAATTGCTACTGATAAAATCAGTTAATTTTGTCCGAGTTTTTCGTTTGAAATGCAAACAAAAAGGGAAAGGGATTTTACTGCTTTCTCTAAAAGTTAAGTAGCTGCGAAGATCAATTCAAGCTCATTTTCCCCTTGAAATGTGTTAACAAGTTTGAAATGTTCTTAAATATTTTAAGAAATAGGGAAAGTGAATCTAAAAGAAAAGTTAGTTAGATAGAAATCCGACTGTACTTGATAATGTAAAATTTTTATTTGCTTCTTTCCATCTTTATAATTTTTGAAGCAAATAAAGTTTTTCTAATTACAGTCGAAAAGTATTCGATTGGTGAAAAATTCTTCTTACAACATTCAGAAGAGGATTTAAACTTAAATTGCCAACAGAAACAAAGCTCCATATGAAATTTGGGCACTTAAGTTCGTAGGAAAGTGATCTAAATTTTAATTGTCTGTTTNAGTTGCTAAATCCCGATAATAAGTTCGTTATATGGAAAATTCGTTAAATAGAAAATCACCTTTTGAAATACTTAAACAACGCAAAACAAGTTTTAAATTCATAAACACTAGGCATAATTAAAATAGCAATGGATGCACCTTTATCTTGTAAATTGGTATCTACTATTTATTTCATAAATCTTAACCATAAAAGAAAAATATGCATAGAAAGCAAGAATACAGCAAAACATTAACCAGTGTTACACTATCATGCGACATACATTTTAAACTAAAAGAAGCTAAATTTATGTATAGTTGCATTTTTTATAAAAGTAATTTTAAAAATACATTACCACATGAGTACTTAAGTTTAATGCCACTGATAAAATCCGTTAATTTTATCTGAGTTTTTCGTTTGAAATGCAAACAAAAAGGGAAAGCGATTTTACTGCTTTCTCTAAAAGTTAAGTGGCTGCGAATATCAATTCAAGCTCATTTCCCTCATGAAATGTGTTAACAAGTTTGAAATGTTCTTAAATATTTTAAGAAATAGGGAAAGTGAATCTAAAAGAAAAGTTAGTTAAATAGAAATCCGACTGTACTTGATAATGTAAAATTTTTATTTGCTTCTTTCCATCTTTATAATTTTTGAAGCAAATAAAGTTTTTCTAATTACAGTCGAAAAGTATTCGATTGGTGAAAAATTCTTCTTACAACATTCAGAAGAGGATTTAAACTTAAATTGCCAACAGAAACAAAGCTCCATATGAAATTTGGGCACTTAAGTTCGTAGGAAAGTGATCTAAATTTTAATTGTCTGTTTCGCACAGACAGGGAAGCGAGTAATAAAACCTGATAGTAAAAAAATACTAAATCAAAAGTGACCACTTTAAACTTATTTTTGTTTAATTGGGTGAACTAAAAATGCCATGCGAAGAATATTCTTATCTGTAATAATTGAGACGTTGTTTTTGTATACATTTTTTATGTATATCAAAATATTTAAGTATTGACAAAAGTTAATCGATTCGAGGCACTTCATCGAGAAATCGCAGATCATTAAAGTTTGAATGACTACTTCTTATTTGATAAATTAAAATTAGTATATCAATAACGTATATTATTAACGTTAGTATATACTCTTGCGGGCCAACCATAGTACCATAAGCCAACCATACTAACGTTAGTTAGTATATTTTCAGCGTTTTTTAAATGGATATATTATTAATGGTATATTATTAACGTTAGTATATTTTTAACGTTTTTTAAATGGATTAAAAATTGAAAATTTTGATATTTGCCAAACCTGAAAAACTTTCTTGTTTGCTTATATATAAATTTTTTTCGTACATTTGGTTGAAAGAACTAAAATATTTCTAAAATGACAAAAATGTGACATGACGACATTTTAATTTTCACAAACTTGTACGAGTACGCAAAATAGGAAAAAATTTAAACTTGATTCCTTTTTGCGCAAGAACAATATTTACATCAAGAATGATTGAAATGTTATATAAATTCAAATTATGCTAATTTATAGTGACATTATTATAAAATAATTAAATTATAACTTTAGGAAACTTGTGGTGTAGCCATAAACTAATAATTTTGTTTTCAATAATGGGTAAAAAATTAGTATAATAGTTAAATTATTATTTTTTTATTTGAATAATAACAGCAGTAATATTAGATTCGCAGAAATGTATGAAACCGCCTGAAGCGAGATTAACGAAAATGCGTCATACATAACTAAATCTTGTCAAACCCTCTGTTTTACTACCTCATAGTTTTGCTAAAGAAGAAATAAAACAAAAAATAAAGATACAATTAATAACTATTTCTGGAGGTATAGGAATTAAAATGTTGATTTTTTTAAAAATATGACTATCGATATATTGACTCACACAACAATATGATGCTTTCTAATAGCTCTTATTAAAAATAATAAATAAAAGTAAAAAAAATTATGATTATTGGGTTTAATTTGGTTACACTAGACGTCACACTAGAAAATTCTAATGAGCTGCTAAAAAATATAAATTATACCATACATATATTGTTTTTTGGTTCACTTCGTAGAATGAAACTTGGGCTCAGCAGAAATAATTCAAAATTATTTTTTCAAAATCATAATAATAATTTTATAAGAGTAAGAGAATGCAAAATGTTAGACAGACATAATCAAAAATTAATATACTTGAAAATTATAAAAATGCATGCTTAAATTTTTAACAAAACTCAACTTAACTGAAACTCAACTTAAACTGAATAATGAAAGAAAACTGATTAAAATGGTAAGATTTTAACTTAAATGTAAAATAAAACAAGTTAAGTGATTTTAGTATAAAAATTTAATTCATATCAATTTCGAATTCAGTCATAATGGCATTAAATAACTGATTGAATAAAATAGAATACTTAAATGTAGATGTAATACTATATATATGAATAGATAGATAGATATAAAACTTTTTTTAAAAAGAAATTTGGTTATTCCTCGTTCCGCACTTTGCTTTATATATATATTTTTTATAAAACAAAGTCATTACAAAAAATCCTTTTAGAAGCCTTTATTTTTAGTATCTTCCAAATATGCGCAATAATGAAACCACTTCTGTTTATGTTATAAGTACTGTTTGACTTAACATTAACTATTTCGAAGTACAGAAAAAAAGTAGCGATTTCGAAATTTGACAGTATTATATACAATAATATATTTGGCAGTACTATGTACTATATAAGTACCAAAACAAACTACTTTTAGTACTGATTCTGAAAAGTCTAGACACTTATTTTTATTTCCAAGGGCGAGCTTGCCTCTCAACTTTTATACAAAATTTAGACAAAGGAAGACTTTATGTTAAAAAAATTTTTTAATCAAACCTCAAAGGTTCTTCTATTGAATTGAAATCTAAGTATCCATATATTTTTATCCACACCATGTATTCGACAAAATAACACCAAATATGGGAATCTTACCTCCAATCTGGTGAGGGCTCCGATATCGGTTCCATATTCGATGCTGAGGTCCCCCCGACCTCCAGCAGTGGACGAATACACGTATTTCGAAGTCTTAATGGAAGACATCGGTGGATGTGTGTTGGTCAAGTCGAGAAGAAGAAAACTGTAATCAGCGCGGGGTTTTGTAATCGCACAGGCTCTTGACAAGAGGACGTGTGATGCAGGAGGACAACGAATGTGAGGAGCAAGATTCCGAGTCGGAGTTTAGTGAAAAGGACGGAAGATGGAGTGAAACTCCCCCACACCTCTGTTTGGGCTTAAATCCCAAATTGTTGAGTCCCCACTCTCATGTTTCTGTTTTCAGAAGACGCTCCGTCATACACACCTTTTATGGGGAGAGTGAAGGCGTGGGTGCGTCTCTCTCGCTCTTTTATATGACTCCGAAGAAATTATTTCTCTTCATTGGAATTGGTCAGTTGTTAATTGGGAATGTTTAGGACAGCGGTTCCCAAATGGTGTTCCGTGGAATACTAGGGTTCCGTGAGTTAGGACTTTTTTTTTTTTAACAGTAGTGATTTTTTGAAACCTGTAATAGTTTTGTTTTCCAATAAATAATCCAATATTTATTTAACATTAAAGTTATTTTATGAAATTATTTACGTAAAGTCGCAATAGGAAATTTTAAAAAATATACTTTTTCTAATAATTCCATTGAATAAACGATATGTATTTACAAATTATTGCATCAGAATTTCTAGGCGAACTTTGAAATTCAAAATAAAATAACAAAATTCAAGAATGGAGAATTATTTTTTTCTGATGACCTTCCTCCCAGTTTAGAACAGTTCTTTTCAAAAAATTATAATTTAGCTTATTTTATTCAATTTTAACTTAAACGGGAAAAACTACTAAACTTAACTTATACAGCAAAAACATATCCTCTGTAGACTTACGAATTTAACTGCCTAGCATAAAACATAATTTTGAGACTTATTCACGAAACAATGAAACACTTCATTCACGTTAGTGTTTCTGAATTTGAGTTAATTTGAAGTTAATTTTTCGTTTGCATAATTACACCTGCAAATGAAAGTGTTCTAAAAGTCAGGGTTATACCAAAATAAGTTCGATCATTCAGGGTTTCGTTGTCGAGAAATGTTGGGCAATACTGATTTAGGATGTAAGGGAACGGTAGGATAATCGAGTTGGTTATCCTTTTAAGTTGTAAAATGAAATCCGGTTTGATTTTAAAGTCGACTTAAGGTTGTTTTTGTATCTTTGAAGTATAGAAAAGCTTTGTATTCGAACTTTCTTAAAAAAAAAAAGGGTTTGAATTTGTTTCCAATTTTTTAAATTAGGATAATCAAATAGAATAGTTGATTATCATGTAATCAAAAATAAATTATCATGTAATGTTACTTAAAATAAGCATCACTTTTTAGCCCTTTTAGGGAGACAGTGAACCTTTAAAATGAATTTTTCAAAATTTTGAGGATATAAGCCTAATTTTATTTATCAATAAATTAATTTATATATTTTTCATTAATTAATTGGTAATTACTATTACTTTTTTAAAATTTAACTTCTTAATAATTTCTTCAGCAAGGTTTAGTTTGGTTTAATTACGTGCAAATCAACAATTGTACTAATATCTCTGTAAATTTTTAATACCTAATTTTTTTTTTTTTTTTTTTTTACCAGTGTTGAACAGTAGACCCGATTCTAAGTTTACTCTAATCAATGTTCAACTCCATAGATTTGTAATTATGATCCCGATTCAGAAAACAAGAGAACTCCTGGACAAAGTAGTCATCATCGAGGACTGTTTGATGGAACTAACTAGCATTTACGTTACATTGAGAGGAAAACCACAGAAATCACCCACGGTTAGTTCGACGCCAAGGGAATTCTTACCCATCATCCGTCTACCGCTGAAGATATTGTTACTTCAGCACTGTAATCGATGTGAGTCGGGAGAAGAATTCGTGTCGACCAGCCACATTTAGGATTCGAACCTGGGCTACCTCATTGGGAGGCGAACGCTCTATCCTTTGAAACACTGTAGCTCTTTAACATTTGATTTAAAGCAGTCATAGAATATTAGTTTTTGATGCCAATTCTTTCAAGTAGTGTAATTTTAAATGAAAAGAAAGTTTTCATAAACAGTCTATATTATAAATTTATCATACCAGTTGTTTAAAGAACATCATGCACTTATCTCAATTACTACTCAACTGAAATGATGGAAAATTTAGAAAAATTTAAATACAATAAAAATTATAATAATAATTATAACTATAGTAATGATTATAATAATAGTTGTAACTATAATAATGAGTACAATAATAATTATAATAATTCTAACAATGAAAATAATTCTAACAATAATAATCGAAGTTGAAAAGAAGGGAAAAACGCTCTTGAAATTCAGATATGAAGTTTCTAATTATGGCAAGTTTACTAATTATTATCATTTAGTTAAAATTCATTAAAACGAAAACGTAAAATTTTAGTTTTCAAAATTAACTGATACTTTAAAGCAAAAAATCGAAATAATAAAAAATCTCTTAAAAATGCTTTAACTTTAAAATTGAGATTCATTTTCAAATTAATGATTTAATGATTAAATTAACATTTCCTGACTATAATGGTAAAACTAATTAATTTTAAAATATGTGTTTTAAGGAAAGTATGTTTTATTAAATTACTGTTTTGTCTTGTTTTCAGAGTTGTATAGTCTAGGTATAGTCCAAAAAATCGTGTTTACATAACACGATATACATAACGATATGACATGATTCACATAATTATGTTATAACGATAATCATATGGTGTATGCATATTATAATGAAAGCTAATCGTATATGCATTACACTAAATCAAAGAATATTGAGCTTTGCAGATTAGGTGATATACAAATAAATATATTTGATGTTTGTTTTATGCTTTGATGCATGAAAGCGGAACAATAGCCTGCAGTGGTTTGTAGATGACTAGGTCTATCTCTCAGCTCCCTGAAAAAAAAGTGTAATCTCAGGAAAAGTTAAAAAAAAAAAAAAGAGGGAAACAAATTAAATTTTAAATAGAACAGTAGAAAGATATCTCTATCTTAAGCTAGTTTTTATTTAATTTTTTTTAAATTTTTGTTTTACTATGGTAAAACATTTATTGATTCAAACAAAGTATTAAGTTTTTCAAAAGTGTTGAAATTTTTTGAATTTTACTGACCAAAAACTTCACTATTATATTCGTTTGAAAATCATAGTTTGTTGTTCGTTAAATATTTTTTTTGAGTTATGCGTAATCTATTAATAAAATTAATTTCGTAATGGATTTGAAGTTTCAGTGTTATTAGTGGTCAAATGGATGCCCCCTTAATCTGGATGTCTGGCTCTGTTATCCCCTTTCTGCATTCTACTGAGGAGGAAAGAGTGTGAAACAAAATAACAGTATACGCATTAAAGCTTTGCATTTTAAAAAGAATGAAACATATGAAGAAATATAGAGCAATTTTGAATGAACAATGGCATCTAAAAATAGCAGCTGTACACGGTCCCTTATGGTAAGCGACTGTAAACGTAATCAAATTACAAGTTGTCATTGCAAACCTTGTCATTATGGGCACATAGTTGTCGGATGAACGGGCATTGACTCCTTCTAATTGACGACTACAATTTAAAAGTTGTTCAATGAAACGCTTTTTTAACCCTTCTTTTGTAGTAAACAAGTGTGGGGAAAAAAAGATTTTCAGATTCTTATCAGTAAATTGATTCACACAACACCAGATCGGCAAAAAAAGGCATTTTATTGATTATTTCAACGTAATAAATATCTCTAAAAATTCAAAATTTTTTTTCTTTTCATTATTTAATACAAATTTTGTTAAGTAATTTTAGTGTATATATCAATTAATATTGGTGTTAGATCAATCGAAAAGTTTTGTTCTATTTTCTCCATCTGGTTCATGGAACAAGTACGAGTTGTTAAATATTTCTTTTATTGAGTTAAATAATCGTTATTCTATACGTTTTCTTATTCAACTTTTTTTGTTTCATAAAATTATGGTTATTTTACAAAAATGATGTTATTTAATCTATCAAATGTTATTTTAATAAAATAATATTATTTCATTAGAATATATATATATATATATATATATCATTAAATTTTTTTACTGTAACTTTATTAGTAATACATCAGTCAATGTCCTTTATTACGGTGATTGCAATGTATAAGGGAATATTTTAGGTTATACCTCCCCTTGACTGTTTACCTTCTTCTAGTAAATATAATATGGTCTACTACGGGGAAGCTACCCAATGATCTTATCTTCTTTTCTGTCAGAGTTTGTTTGCAATATAATTTGTTTATATTACATTGAGTACGGAATAGTTTTTACCTTTGGTCCAATAATCGCTTTTAAATCGCACGATATTAAACTATGAATACCGCAAGCCAACCAGCTTCTTTCTAGTTCTATCTTGTTATAGTTTCCTATGTTTCAGGTTATACTTAGTACTCGTGTTTATTTTNTATATATATATAAGGAAGGAAGCAGAGAAATCCTTAATAAGTAAGAGAGTTATTTAGTAACTTGCATATTAATAATAATTATTTATAAGAGTTATCTATATAGAATTTTACAGAATTAAAACGGGCCTTCTATTTTAACATTTTAAATTAAATTGCTCTGCTTTGTAGCGCGTAATATGTATTTTAGGGACATAATTATTTTTTGAGAATGTCATTTCATAAAAATGGCACCATACATTATGGATTTCAACTTTAGTTTTTTCCTCTGATTTATGTAATTATTCGTGGCTATAGTTTTTATGTGTTACACGGCACACTTTAAAAAATAATTTCACAAATTTCTATCGCAAAACTTAAATTTTCAAGACATGTTGGTTTCAAACATTATTTCTACTGGCATCAATCTTTAAAATAATGCCGTAAGCGCCAAAACAGATAATAAAATTTTTTGAGCAAATTTGTGAATAAAGGAGAAAAACCTGAAAATGACATTTTCTTCTATGTTTGGACAATCCTTTATTCTGCTTTTAAAAAAATAATTATTAATTTTGAACCAAAAATTTAATTTCTGTTGCATAATATATGCTAGCAGTCATAAAAATATATTTCATAAAAGAGAATAAACTTACTTTCACATAATTTTTAATATTGAAAACTTGTATCACGAAATGTTTGTGTAAAAATATGTCTTCGCTTGTCGCTCGGTAATATGATGTTATAGAGGAAATCATAGCTAAATTTTTAATGTTATAAAGGGTACTTTAAATATGAGTTTTAAAAATTTTTAA